GTTCCTGGCACTGCGGCGTGTGATAGCTTCAACGACAAAATGCGGGAAAACAAACCACTGTTCATATTTGGGGTCTTTTGCTTTGTCCATACCTGGACCCTGTCTGAAATACTCTAAAGAGTGGGAAGCGTTTGCATGCTCATGATGGATCCAACCAGTGACCTTTGCTCTGTGGGTCCACATGCCCTCTCACAAGGTACACCTCAATCGCCCAAACCTATACATCAAAGAGTGCCCCATCACCTTCGAAACGAGGGTGCCCGTGGCTCCATAAGGGGTCGGAAGAAAAACGGCTGTTGGGACCGGACCTGTGCACCTTGATTTGTCAGATGCAGCCTCTCGAAGGTCACAATACAGAACGGAAGCCAGTGGTGTTCCTTTCTGCACGCGCCAGAATTTGCAACGTTTCCGCTTCGACCTCAAGGGATGGGCGGCTGGACCGCGGTCACAAGTCATTCAGCGGAATGCGGCCACAAGTTGCATCCGTTGCCGGAAGTATCGAGTCGGAAAGCATTTTGCGGCACTGTCGTTGTTTCGATTCAAACCTTCATGCGGCTCAGTTTCTGGGAGGACTTGATTTCTGCCCAGAGGTCCCCCTCTAAAAGGGGCATCAGTTTGTTTGAGCCCAAGTGGTCCTTCACCATCCCTTGAGTTATAGATCAACACTGTGATCCTCTGATGGCGCTTCTTTCCTTCAGCGCACGTGAGATGGCTTCTTAGCTGTCCAGCCATGTATATGCTGGTGTACGGACTCCATCACTCCTATCGTTCCAATTCCGCAGCAAACCCCGAACGGGAGGGTTGAGGCCCAAGACCTCTAGGATCTGGTGCCCCACCAAGCCCCAAAAAGGAATGGTTGAAGTCCAAGACCTCCTCTTCAGGGTTTGGATCTGCTACCCAGCAAGCCCCAAACGAAGGGTTGAGGCCCAAGACCTCTTGTTCGGGGTTTGGCAAGCCCCACGCTGGAAGGATTGAGGTCCAAGACCTCTTCTTCGGGGTTTGGAACTGGTAGCCTGATGGAAGCGCAAGGAGTGAGCCCATCTTGGGGCCTGGATTGGCTTACCCGAAGCATGGCGTGAACTGTGAAGCTTCCTTGAGTCTAATTCCTTGAGTACCCGGCACTGCTGAGCGGAAACCTCTGGAAAGCCTCCAAAGGACTTCAAATCCTTATATTCCACAAGGAACCACAAACACTTGGGGATTAAGTTGGAACAAACTAGTTCTTTGCCAGGTCAACCATATTGGAAAACTATATCTGGTAAACTATGGGTCAAACCTGCAAAACATGGTTTTCGTATGTTTTTCCTTGAGTCTTCAATGTCACCGAAACACCGCTGTACCGAAAAATTGTGTTTTAATTGGTTTTCTCCTCTGGGGACTCTCAGCACCTGGACACCTGTCAGTGCAAGGAAGACAGTGTGTCTGGTCGAAACAGCCAGGCGACCCAAACCATCCCAAACCGCATTCCATCCACCCGGAACTCACCCTTCCGCCACTGTCCATCACCTTCCTTCATCCTACAAAAGTTCAGTACCCAACACAGGTCGACGTCATGGTCGTCATGGTCGTTATAGCATGCGTCTCGGTCTCTCATCCGGTGATGTGGTGTTTCGCCATGATTCCAGATCTGCACAGAGACTAGAGCGGACTGAACGGAAAACATCATCAGTTCAACGAAGGCGACATCGACCAATTATGTAGACTCTTGATTAATAAAACCCCACATCGTATCGGTAGGTTTTTCAATTCAGATGGGGGGACTATTAATCAAGAGTATGGTGAACATTTCAATGGCTCTGGAATGCTCTGGGAACCGTAAGGCCAACAAGGGGAAGCCAGTTTCCAGCCTCAGTTTCAAAGGCTGGACCCAGAGCGGTCTCCGCTGGACGAGAATCAAAGACCGATCTGTGTTGGAGCCCATCGCTGGTAGGTGGCCATCGCTACCAGGTTGGAGGCCAACGCTACTAGGTTGGAGGCCATCCTTCCTAGACTCTCTCTCTCTCTCTCGCTTGGCTCTAATCAGGCTCTCGCTTCCTCAACGGGGCGCCCTCAACGGGGTGCCCTCAACATGGAATCCTCCTGTTGATGGAGGATCTCTGCCATCCGATCGCAGGTCACCGAGGATCTCCTGCAAAGCGGAGCTGGATCTCCGCGGAAGCTCCTCCTGAACAGCGGAAACCACCAACCACTGCACTCAAAGCAACATGACGGTGGCACATGTCAATTATATTGCACACTCTCCTCTACAGAGTGCCACATTCTCTGTGCAGTAGCCGCGCGGAAGTACTTGCGCGCGCCAACAACAAAGCCTTGCTGGAAATTCAGCGGGTTCTGGCGAGTGACTGGCAACAAATCCCACTGAACCATATCTCTCTGGGCCATGAGGCTGCTCGGGGCGGGGCTGCTCTGTCCTGCTCCCAGCTGCTTTGTGTACACAACAGCGGCGGTAGATCGTCGATGGGTTGTAGCGGCTGGTCCGGCCTGATGTTTGTGCGGAGGGGAGTGGGGGTGAATGGAACAAATTGGGGTAGTAAAGTAGGGATAGTGGTGCTCGAAGCGAAGTTCCGAAGAATGCTATGTCGCTATGCAGCAGCACCTAAAGAAAGCGCAACTATAAAACATCGCGTAGAGGGGGGTCCATATTAACCGTCTCTCAAGGGCTTGAGCCCATTGAGCCACCCCTTCAAGCTGCAAACAGTATGGATTCTTCAAAGAACCGCCTCAGAAAAGCAAAAAAGAGAGCCCATGAGGTGAGCTTGAAGCACATGAGGTGAGCCTGGAAGGGACATGTTGCACTAATCCTGACATCACAATTTCCGTCATACAGTATATATTCAGAACATGTTGGAGCTGGATTAGGCCCGCCAAGTTTGTCTGGTTCTTTTAACATGGTTGAGCCTCACCCTTTTTGTTAGTATGGATCGACTCTACTGCACCCTACCTTCATCCATGTGTTGTGGGTAAACGTGGGTCAGGGTTGTAAAATTAGACCTGGACCTGCCCCACATGCCCTGTTCGGAATGTCCAAGAAAACCCGTTCGTGATCAAACATGGCACCAAACATGGCACCAAACAACAGCATCGTTGCTGTACCCAACTTGCTTCCCATTGGAGGCGACCGGTCTCGGACGGGTCTCGGTCTTGGTTCCCCCACGGCATCTCCCAATACTTGTCGCTGGGACTCTCCTTGGCTCGGACCACCCTGCACCGCAAACCGCAAAACCGCTTGGTGGCCGATGTGCGGAGAAATCATGGTCCTAACATGTCCTAATTATTTTAAAGAACGAAGCCACTATCCAGGTTCATTTCCTACAGATTTGCTGAACCCAAAAGCATGTGGCCGAAGCCAACATATCCCAAAGTCATCCAAATTGTCATCCAGACCACTTGTTCCGAAATGAGGCAGCGTCAATATTGCATTCTGCTATATGAAATTCATCTATCAAATTGGGCAGCCGCCTATGGTTTGCAATGTTTACCAACATTGATAGGGTGTCGTTTGGGGGCATCCGAAGCATTGGGCAGTCACCGATCGTTTCTAGAAAATCCTGTGACAGTAAGGTGGTCATTTCATGGAACGGTTGCACTGTTGCACTGTAATTGACTCTAAAATTCGATGCCTAAATGGGCTCAGATGTTCCTCCAAATGGCTCACCCTCACCTTGCCCTGCTCTGCCCTCTCCTCCGGCATCTCATCCAAGCCCAAGAAAGTGCGCACAGCCTCCAACAATCGGTCCTCGGCAGGGACCAAAGAAGGATCTCGATCTCGGCTCCAAACCGCTAGCTCCAACTTGGCAATTCATCAAACATCCAAGAAAACAGCCAAGAAGCTGCAAAACACTTTTGGCCAACCTCCAAAACCATCCACCATCTCCCATCCCCTAGACCATGCCATCTCATCTCATCAAGATCCATCCACCCAGAACTCTGTGTGAAAGCCTCGGTTCCCGGTGCTCCAACCGGCCGGTCGCTCGGGCTCCACACGGAGAGATCTCGGCTCAAACCGTTTTGGGCACACTGCCGCCTAGGACCGACCACGGACCGACCGGGTGTTCCAAGGACCGGTCCGGTCGGTGGACCTCAGGTGCTGCTGAACGGGGCTTCCTATAGCCACGCGTTTCCTAAGGAAAGGGTGGCTGAGCCTCAAGTGGGAAGGAAGTCGATTCACGGAATCCACGAATTTCCAGCCATTCTCGGAATCCAGCAGAAGATATCCCCATTATATAAGTGAGGAGGTTTCCGAATAGGTGCGGTGTCCTTTTTTCTAAGACAGAACCCCAACAGTAAACTGTTTACGGGGAAAGAAGAAGGGCACAAAGTGACAGACTGGCCACTACCCATCATAACCTCTGCAACTCCAAGTGGGCCCTGCCTGCTTGCGCGTGTGAAATGCGCCCATGCCTCGACAAAGCGGCAAAAGCACAGTGCATACCCCACCCAAAACCTTTCAAAACGATCTCTTGATTTACAAAAACACATGGTTGAGCTGGCCTGTTTTTTTGTTGTGTCAAATCCGCAAAAACCCATGGTGGCTTGGTAAGCGGCTATGTACATCAATGGTGGTTGGAACTCTAAGGGTCGAGACGTGACTGGACAGGATCCGAAACTTCCGTGACTGGACAGATACGGCGCCAGACTCCTGAGCCGTGTCCCTGGAACATCCCGGTGAAGCCTTTTCATCCCTTTTCGACCTATTCTGGTTGAGTGGGGTGTCTCCACTCCACCCCAACAAAAAGGTTAAGGGTTATCCACTTTTTTTCCTGGGTATGAGGTGCGTCAACATCGTCTGCCGCGGCCCATTTCTTCAGTCTCTTTGGCCGTTTGGCACGAAGAGAAGCGGCCAACAGTCCAAGTCTGCATCTTGGAACAGGCATCTGGTTGGTGGTTTCAACCCACTTGAGTTATTTGTCGGTGGATTCAATTATCTCAAGTAAAGGTTGAAAATAGACATATCTGGAACCACCACACCGTCTTAAAGCCAGCTAGCCAGCTACTATCAGCTACTGCCAGTGGCGGCTGCCTGTGCAGGCGCCTTCCGCTTCTGCCACCCAGTGGGCGATCGATGCTCGCACGTGCGCCACGCCGAGTGTCTGTCCATGTCTGCCCCCAGCGGCTGGTGTTCTCTTGTAGTCACGCAAGTGAACCCATCCGCCACATTTGGTGTCGTCCAGCTTCCGCCACAGGTGGTCGTGGAGGAAACCCAGCTGTTGGTTCAACCTGCGATCTTTCATCGAAAACGCAGCTGCATGTTTGCCACAACTTTGCACCCAGCCACTCCTCCAGTTCGTGGCATGGAGCACACTCACCCTCTGGATCAGAATGTCTTGGCACATCGACCAGCTCGGCTCTTTGGCTTCCAATACCATGCCAGGCTGTGCTGTGTTCGAACGTTCTGAAGTTTCTGAAGCCAACATCTTAGGCCAGCTGGAAGGGTTGAAGATGGTTGAAGGCTGAGCGAGGCTTGGCCACGTGGAAGGCCGGCCTTTCAGTTGCCCCACAGTGTGAGTAGACTTGGCCGATCCTGGCTGTCAGTAGAAATGCCAAAGTCCCATAAAGGCGCTTTCCATTCTCGTCATGTCCCAAGTGCTTGGGTTGCCATCTTCTTTCAAGAAATCCGGACACCACACTTCTTCTGCTTCCCCAGTCTCACCAAAGCGTCTCCGTAAACACCTCAGAAAGGGATCATGTTCAACGTTCAAGTGACTTCTGTGGACGTGGCGGAACAACAAAGGGCTCCAGACCCTTCACTATCGCTACGACCGGCCTCCTCACTGACCAATATGGAAGATAAAGTGACTTCTGTGGAGAGGGGCCGCTTCTCTCCTCTCCTACCAAAGGCTTAGGCACACGTCGGACTAACCTCCAGCCCAACACCGTTGCCATCAAATAATTAAAATCCAAAGCCGTGGCATGGTTTGTAAACACATACACTCGTTTCTTTACTAGCATGGAACATAGACTCCTAGCCTGGAAGACCATTTTGTGAATACCGAACATGCCTGTTCTGCTTTCACAAAACGTGAGTCAAAGAGCCTGACAATGGCCTATACTACCAGTATATTTGCCTCCAACTTATTTGATTCTTGGACATACTTTAACAATATCATCTGTAGATTCATCTAGATTCTAGATTCATCCAAGACGCAACACTCCATAGGTGTCCTCAGCTCCAGAAGCAGCAAACTGAACAGATTAGTTTCGCGTGTTTGGATGTCACCCGGCTGTGTGGAACAATCTCCGCTAATGATCGGGCACCCTTCAACGCACAGCGATTGCCATGGAGCCTCAAGAAGATTGAAACCCAAATGTAAAAACAAAAACAAAACGTCTATATATGATCTGTCAATGGCAGCCCCCCCGTTCACCCAGGTGTCCCAATCGCTTGTTGTTGTTTCACCCACTTCACCTGCCGGGTCTTAACAATTGGATGTTACGTTAAAATGCGGCCGGGCTAATAGCGGCGTTTTCGCAGCGAAAACGGGTTCACAGCGGAATGCTGCGCCCGTCTGGGAATGTGATAGACATGCACAGTTTTTGCACCCCAGCACGGAGTATGAAGTTGATACATTCACAGTACATTCACAAAGATCATTTTTGCAGGATTTTGCAGCTATATTACAGTTTGATGGGCATGGACGTGATGATTTGAGCCCCAATGTTGAGGGATTTCTCTTGGTTTGTCTGCTCATGATTGAGGGGGGGGCCCAAGTCTCTGCATCCTGTTGGTTTGAAACCACCTCCGCTGGCTTGGGAGGAAGAGGTCATCAAATTGAAGATTCTTGAATACGTGGGTCGTTGGGGAAAGCTCCCAAATCCCCTAGATTCTGCATAATTCCCCAAAACTGTTCAGAGAGTGGTCATGTACTTAGGGATTTGTCAAACTTTGGCTTAGCGCGGCTGCATTGTTGTTGCATCTCCGTGATTTTCCCAGCCATATCCCTAGCACAAGGCTCCAGGTTCAAGCATTGCAGCTTTGGATGTTCCAAAGGCAAAGGCTTCGGCAGTTCTTCGTACTCCTTGCTTTGACAAATCCTGAGCGAACCCCCCACGTTTGTCCAGCCACATGTCAAACGGTACGTGAGGAAACCTTCGTAGCGGTTGCTCATCGATGCATTCACTTGAGGTTGACCGTTGAAAAATAGAAACACTGGAGATGTCTGACCATCTTCGGCCGATCTTACCATATACAATCCACACATCTGGCACTTGATTTCTACAAGCCAGTCTATTTCACCAGTCACCCCACCACATGTCCTCTTACCACCGGTGATGAACCGAGGTCTGCTGGAAAGGCTGACGGAAACCGACGTCTGCTGGTTTGAGCAATCAGAATGAATGAGTCTATATGGTTTAATTGCCCCCCTGTTCCGTTGAAAAGGCCAAAGCCTAACATTTGCAGCTCTACTAGAAGTGATCCTGCTGCAATCCCTTTCCAAGAGGTCTTGTGTTCAAGCAACACGTCACGCAGCACCAAAGCAACTAGCAAAGCAACTAGCAAAGCAGTGTACATGCACCGTTTCCAAATATAGGAATTCATCCTGTTGTAATTGTAGCTGGTTTTTCTTGCTCGGCTTTTCTGACGGAGTCTTAAGACGCTAAAAAACATGGGTGTGCATCAAAACATGGGCCGTTGTAGATAATATACGAACCATCTAGAACCCAAGTACCTCTAAATATATACCTTTTTGTTTCTGTCACAACAGGATTGAAATGGGTTCTAGTTGTAGTTAGGTGTAAGTATGAAAAACACATGTCTCTATACATATACATATATGTTCACATCACCGTCAATGAGTTATGAGTCATGAGCCTCAAGTTCTCCGGGCTACCGAAGCCAATAAACAAAAAAACATGTTGTCAGTAGGTTGAACACAGAGAGCGAATCAATTATAAAAGCATAGTTGAACAATGTTGAACAATTGCACATGTAAACAAAAAGTGTCAATTATAAGAACCAACTACTGTCAATACAATTGTAAAACTGACTTACTCTCCACAATGAACCTGCTTTTTGTAGTAGGTTGCAATCGTCACTTTCTGTTCTACCATAAAAAGCATGCTTTTGAGCTTGTGTGACGTTATTGGTAGGCATCAATAATAAACTTGACGTACGTTAAGCCTCTTAAACAATAGTCAAATGAAAACCAAAAAGAAACGACAGTAACAAAATACATGTTGACTCAGCAAAATCAAAGTTTAAACCTAGTTCAAGACAATAACACACTTTTTAGCATCCTTATTTAAAATCAAACAGACTCAAAAAGTACCCCTTAGTAAGACCTAAAACATACATACACTCATAAATACCTGCCAATAAACAGCTTGCTTTCCTTGTCAACTGTCACTTAGATAGCAATAATAAAACCTGAGTTTCTCCTGTGCAATCAGGAACTTTATCCTTAACAATTGCAATAAGAAACCCAACTTTCTCCTGCGTAACAATAAGACATAATAAGCCTCTTTCCAGATTGAATTGATTTGTCTCAATCAAAAAACTCAAAAGCTGTCATAATCCTGGTCCTAAGGTCTGAGGTTTTTAATTCCGAGTAGTTTAGTAGTACGACGAACAACTTTTTGTCCGCCAAACTTTCACGTGCGATGAGAGAATTCTCTTAAACAATCGGAACAACTCTATGGACATAGACCAATAACACAAACATATATATACCTAGACCCTCCCGAGGCAATAATTTTTGCCGTAGGCTGTTGAGGCAATGATTTTTGCCGTAACTCATTTTTTCTGCCGTAGCTCAATCCCTGGAAAGTGAAAACGCCGTCAGAGAAGTGAAAACGCCGTCACAAAAGAAGAATCGCCGTTTTGTTTGATCTACCAAAGAGGATATTGTTTTGGTCCGTCCATACCCTGAAATTGCCTTCTCCTTTTTCACTTGTAAGTAGAGCTCATCGTTTTCAAGCCTCATGGTAGCACTTCTCAAGATGTTGCAGCCCTTGTCTAAGGTCTCGATTGACATCACGGCAGGATTTGTTCACATTTTGATCATGCAATGGCTGAAAGGATCGCTTGTGACATGTTGTGACAAGTCTTGCTGCCACCTTGAGTGGCCCTAGACAGGGTAAGGGAACGACGCCGTAAGTAGGGGGAAAACGCCGTAAGTACGGGGAGAAACGCCGTAAGTACGGGGAAAAACGCCGCAAGTACGGGTAAGAACGCCGTAACTTTAAACGCAAAATCTTCTGCAACGCCGCGCAAAGAGGTCGAGTTACCCGCGAAAACCGACGAACACCCAGCATGTGACACTTCCATCAGCTGCCCTTTCCACTTCACATGACTATGCGAGTTTGCTGATATAATAAGACGCCTTTTACGTGCAGTTGCCTTTCTAGCAAGACCCTACAATGTTTTCATACTCGCCTGCACTAAAACTAAAACGAAATGTTTGAAATGACTCTTTGAGGCGCATGGATGTGTGGACCAAAATTGCCGTCAACTGACCGAAACTGCCGCACTTCATCAAGAAACGCCGTCCCCATGAGATCAATATGGAAGAACGCCGCAGAACGGAAAAAGGCGACGTTTCATGAAAACGGCAATTATTATTGCCGTAACGAAGTTCCAGGTATATACCAAAATCAACTCAAAATCTCCGGGCTGGACTCTTTAGCGACACGATAGTTTGTCTGACTCAGCAGAGAGTCAGAACCAAGAGTTTTGACGACTCGAGAGCTGTCCTTTGATCACAGGTCCAACACCCCCGATCGTCACATGAGAGCTATCATTGCCCCAATGAAACTATGATAGCTGCGTGGTCGACAATGTCGTCCCCAATGTCGTCTTTTTTGCTCCGTGGTCTGGGCATTTGGCTGGGCGGCCCAGCGTCACATGTCGTTCCCGTCGTCACTCAAAGCGACCACCGACCTCCCAACCCAAGGAGCTCGTGCATCTCATAGCGGGCAAAGTACTTCCAGCTGTTCGTCTCCCAGAAGCAATCCGACAGCAAGTGCCCTTCACACCACCTCTGGTCGGCACCGGTCGTCACAGTGGTCGAACTCAGTTCGTGGTGTGGTGTGTGTTTTTTGACCAGAAGTCTGAGATACTTCTTTTTTATATCGGTGTCTTTTCATGTTTCTTTTCTCCTCGTGCTATCTGACAATAAGTACAACCAAGTAATTGTAATGCTGAGGTGCTTTGTTTTCAAGTTTCGAGAGGGAGTTCACTTCAAAAAAAACAAAACGGAGTTCTAACGCCGGACGGCGAGGCACCAACGCTCCGAGTAGAAGGAGGCCTCTCCTGGCCCTCCCACGCGGTAGGGGATACAGCCGCCCTTCTCGAGACCATGGAGGTCACCATTCGGCAACTTGGGACGCACCACCGTGATGTGCAACTCGTAGAACCTCAGACCCGCGAGGCGAGGTCGGTGCATGGTGGTCTGAAGAGCGCAGAGCGCATGGAGCAATCATCGAAAAGGTTGGTCACATGCGACTGGATTGAGGTGGAAACTGCGTTGAGGTCCATTGGGAATGATGCAGAATCAGATCCTCAGTTCAGCTGTCTCCTGCATGGATTCCCAAGAGGATTTCACCTGTCTCGCGCATGGTTGAGAGCTGCTCACCGGACACCGGTTACCCGATCGGTGCTTCGGCGGACCATGAACCCGGTTCGATCGGGTCAGGTTTCGGGTGAGCGGCGGTTCTGCACTGAGCAGCGGCATGTGGCCATGACTCAAGCAAAAATACCAATGTACCAAAGAACTAACAGTACGATATAACAACTGGCTCCAGAATACCCAAATTAACACATACAATACAACACATCGACTGGCAACCGCATCGCCGCCCCACCAGCCACCCCGGTGACGTGAGCGAGAATTGCCGGCGCCAAAAAGGCCGAGCCACCTGAAGGAGTCCGTGACCTCCGGTTTTTCAGCGAAGGAAGGGAACCAAACGGTCCGAACTGCGTGGTCAGAAGAAGATTGTATGGAACATGCCAGAACCGTTTGGGCTCCAGTCGTACCTTCGTTTCGAAGGTGGGACTCGGATGGGTGCTTTTTGGTATGGAACATGCCAGAACCGTTTGGGCTCCAGTATGCTCCAGTCATACCTTCGTTTCCTTCGTTTCGGTGAAGGTGGGACTGGGGGCCCGGGTGCCATGTTCGGGTCCAGTCATACCTTCTGAGGAGGTACTTGTAGCCATAGGGAGAATCAAATATGAGATTCATTCATCAGGTTTTGTAGACCACTTTCTATGTAATTAGGGTGTTTTGAGGGTAAACAGCATGTAGCAGGATTGGCGGACTCTGTGTGCGGTTACAATAATTAGATTACTTTGTGGGCCCTATGTCACCTTTACATGACCGCTTTTGTTCTTGCGGTGATGCCTCATTCAGTTTAAACAGGGGCTCCAGGGATGCAATCAATGACTCAATGACCGTCAATGATGGCATCGTTTGTTTTTGTTGCCGAGGCCCCCTCCCGCTACCAAGCTAGTGGTGATGACATAGCATTCATAGTATGACGGTGTTCAATATGTCTTTTTGTAACAAAATGACTTTCGAGAATGGCTAGCTAGCTCTAACTTCATCTAGCTTGGCCTTGACGTTCTCATCCCCAGAGCAGAACCGCGATCCGGGCCCAATGGATGTATAGTGATTTTGGAGCACTCGTCCAAGAGGCCCACCGAAAGGGTGATGTCCAGGTTTGCCGGAGTGAGGTTGCATACGATGAGGTTGCAAACCAAAAACTTGAGAAAGCACACATGTCTTCAAAAAAGAAGAATCGCACAATGTGGTTTGGCCTCGAACACAACGCGAGAAAACTTATGGGTCATGGGTGATGTTAGTGGAGGGGGTTGGCCAGTAAGGGATGTCAGTTCTATCATCTTCGATGCTCTGAAACACGTTTGGTAGTAATTATACTCTCTGGAACTAACATGGAAGTCATATCTTCCCCTGGTTGGTGAACATGGTCTTCCGAACTCGGGGTCATGCCATCCACGTAACCATGAGGACGTTCCAGGGAGAGTATCGAACCCCCTGGTGGTTTATGTGGAGCTTGGCCGAGAAGAGCCCCCGCTCTTTGAGGCAGCACTCAGTCCTGACAGGGGGTTGTATGGTTTTGGCATCGGAGCGCACGCCCCCGGAAGATGGGTTTATAATTACAGTAAGGGGCCGACTGAGAAATTTGCTCACGGGGTATGCTCATCGCTCTGGCTCACAACCTTCTCTCACTTCCTCTCTCTCTCTCTCTGTCTGGGCAAGGTCTGGCTATCACATCTACCACGCATGCGCAAACTTGACTTTCTTGGTGCTGCCGCGCGGTCGCCGCCCAGCCGCTTCGGTCACCAGTCCCTGCTGCAGCCGCTCTTTCGCGCGACGCCCCACCACCGCGAAGCGCCAACTGCAGCGCAGCAGCGCCGCACAGGTCGGCGCATCGGCAAGGAACAGCAAGCGCTCAGGCAACAGGTCGTCCATGGGAGTTGATGAGTGGAAGCTCGGTCTTCCCAGTGCAGAAGAGGTGATACTGGATGATACTGGTGGGTGATTCATTATATGGCTATAACATGCTATATCTATGGCTTTACTGTAGAGGAAGACTTAACGTCGACTTTTTTGCTTAAACGTCTGGTTGCTTGGTGGTTGTCTGGTTGGAGGTTGGGCTACCATCGAATATGCAAGCATTCCAAGCCGCAGGAATGAGAAGAACACCTCCAAACCAACGACCAGCCGTAGTCAACCACCAAAACAAGCCAAACAACTATAGTAGTTCAAAACCCCTTGACTAATCTTGATTATATATCCGTTATTGATCTGTATTGTTGACTTCCACCGAACCTTTGCTGGTTGTTCTCTTTTATGCAACGATATGAAACGCCTAGTAACAGTTCGGCTGTGTTCTCGCGATCAACTTTTCGCCGCTGCCCACTGCCCACCTCCGCCCGAGAAAACTAAGGCCTTGCAAGAGGAAAAACAAAAAGATTAAATAAGTCGTAATATGTCGTAATAAGTCACCAAGCAGTATAGTGTGGTTGCATGTTTTCGAGGGAGTGGTTCAAACACCTTGCCACAGACTTGATGGTAGATGCTCGATTAGATGGAGTAAGACATGCATGCATGTGTACTAAGGTGCTTGCGCACCCCATCTAACCTCCCAATTGGAAGAGCTAAACCCAAAGACCCAGTAGTTGGATAGTCTTCCAATTCGCTGATGGCTCAGGCCGAGCCAATCTTGACAGACATGTGGGGACCTGGCACTTGGTCTTGAACACCTCCATCCCGCCCAGATTGGGCATCAGTCAGATTTGTCGTGCGGTTTCGTGCGTGCTTTTTGTTCTGCGCGGCGTTTTTCCCCCTGCAGTGGCCTCCGCAAAGTGCAACGCGACACCAAACACGACACGGTCCTGCAACGCCCACGAGGCCCTACGAAGCTGCTGCTTTTTCTGGGTTCCAGGAAGACACAGATGTGGGACGGGTGCGATTCGCACCGCTGATGGTGGCGAGTTCATGGGGCATCTCGTTCGTGGTCCGCTCTTCAGGGCCCAGATTCAGCTTCACTCTGTCAGCCAAACGGTTTGTCGAGCAGGACCACCGTCGTGTTGGATGGTTGGTTGCTCAAGCTGCTCCCCCAGTCTTCGGCAGTTCTGCCATCTTTCACATCACACACTGTCTGGGTCACCAAAAATTACCGCATGCAAAGGCATCATCCCAACTTGTTGACCCACTTGACCCACCAGTCCCTGACCAAGAACCCTTTTTTCTTTGTAGTCATTGTAGTCCACCAGTTGCATGAGGTCTCCAAAGTGTCAGTCTGGTCCGAGACTTGGACAGCCTTTTTGGGATCCTTTTGTGGATTCAAAAACCAGGGGATCTCCCTGGCCACTAGGAGAATCATGCGAATCATTGTAACATTCCTCCGGCACATGTGAATGCTAAATTCACTCAAGCTCTTGGGTTTGTTTCATCTGCTAGCCTAGTCGGACCTGAAGGGATGTGATCCCTACAAAAGTCATCAAAAGTCCAGGACCACCTGAAAATAGGTTTGAACGAAGAAGCCATACATTGGCATGTATTTTTGGGATAACATCACGGTCGATTGAGTCTCATCATCGCTTGTTGCTGTTTTATATTGTTTTCTACCTACAGGACCTTCTGGATCTGCTGGCCTTCTGGACCTCCTGCGCAGCCCCTTGCGACCTGCCAAGGGCGAGCAAGCCAAAAGCACGACAGAACGACAGATCGCTGAGGTGGGGGCTTAGCTGGGAGCTGATTCTGATTGCGAACCGGAACCGCATCGAACCGGAACAAATTGCACTCGACTCGTGTGCATCTCATGTGCATCTCTGGACCAAAGTACCCTCCCAATTCAACAATTAATGGAAGTGGAATACTGTTCATCAAGGAATTCCACTCTTCCTTTCGGGGCCGAGTCACAACACGTAACCATCTTTGGATGGGTCGGTCATCACACCACCGGACCGAGGTCTTGGGGACCGTTCCAACGGTTGCGCAGGTTCCGAGTTCGACACGCGGTCCACCTGGACATGAACATCACCCGTCATCACCCCTCGATCCTGCACCATCTGAGGGTTCAAAGGGATTACCATTCTTTGACCCAAGGTCTCATGGACAGCCTTGCTTTCTTCGGAGTCGGCTCAGTGGCCAACTCGACTCCACAAGAAGGCTGTCCCGCGGGAGCGGAGTGAGGGCTGAAGCAGCCCAGGTCTCTTTCCAATTCACCTGAAATCAACAAAAACAAGTGCATCGCTACGTTCGTAACAAGTGCCTTAACTAGTAGTAACAAGAAGCTATCAGAAACAATCATTAAAATATCAGCAAATAAAGACCGATCATTTGGCTCCTCCCCCCATTGGCATGGCCCCTTCGGAGATCGTGGCATGGCCCCCTCGCCTGGACAAGCGGCCTCACGTGAGCTCGGCGTGTTTGGGAGCTTGGCATGAGAACGCGTGACATGCGTGACAAGCTTCTTCCGAGGTTTGGAGAGTGACATCGTTTTCCTTGAGCAAAGCATTGCCCAAAAACATAAAAATTCCTTCGCGTCAAACATGTTTGGTTGTTTGGTTGCTTCCTTTTCGAGAGATCGTCCAACAAAAACTGGTCGTCGACTGAATCGACTGGACATACATAGATCGTATGTGTTTTTGTTAAATAAGATTCCCTTGCGTTTCACTTGGATGTGTGGAAATTCGGGTGTCATCGCAAATGCAGCCGCCCAGTTGCTGGTCCTTGGCGCAAGGTCGGGAAGAACGTACACTGGGACCGGACAAAAGGACCCTTTGGCTCTACGAACACAGGGTGACTCCAGGTCCAATGGAACGTTCAGTGGCAAAGTAGAGAGCCAGAACACCAAAGCTCGGTCTTGGGTCTCCACCCGCCCAACAGCGCCAACAGGTCAACATGGCTTGTGAGGTGCACTACCCCCCACCTCACCTCCTTGTGCTGTTTGATCCTCCAGGACCGTCCCCACGCACCGCCGCTCAGCCTATCGGGCGCACCTGGTCCATGCAAGGCCTCCATGATGACGTTCCGCAAGCGAGGCTTCAGATCTCTCCTGGTCTGCATCCACCCGCGGTATGGGAGGCTTTTTGGGCATGCGCGAGCCAAGGTCTCGCTTGAGCATCGTACGAGGTGAAGCCCCCCAAATAGGGATGATACAAGGTGAAGCCCACCGGATATCATGGTATATACCTGGACTCTGAAACGATCTCGTTTTTCCCGTCTTGCTATAGAAAACATGACGCGGAAAAATGCAACAAGTTCGCGATAGAAAACATGACGCCAAAATGACGCAGAAGTGACAAAAATCAACGCATAAGTAACACAAATCGACACCAAAACTGCTTGTGTTGTTTTTTGTATAAGCTTTGACCCACCGGAGAGGAAAACACAACGTCTTTTGCAGGGTCTAGGTATATCCATGTATATCCCACGACCAGGGCCCAGTGGATGATGGTTTGGCTGCAGGCCTTCAGAGTGCTAATCTTTTATCCACTGTTACTGTTGATGGGGCTCGGACACGCCCTTTAAATTCATGATTGTGTGTGGAATGGATGCTGGTCTGTAGGTTGAAGAAATTGACATCAAATTGCGAATGAGAATGGTTCAGAGTTGTTCTCAGCCATGTTCGTTGCATCCACCACTCGCACGCTTTTTGTTCCCACTGGAAATATGTAGTGGACAGGGGATGAGAATTAATTGGGACCTGGCTGTATCAATGACCCTATCATACCCTATCTATTACCTCCCCCCAGCAACAAAATCAACAAGTCAACAGCTGAAGAATGGAAAGCTACCCTCCCCCAACAAACTCAGCAGAACAGGCCCGCTCGAAAAGGAACACGGCCAAGCCCATCCACCAAACCTTTCAGACGTCTGAAGATTTAGGGTGTGCAATGGGACCTTTGCTAAACGTTCTCACGACCTGCACGGCATCCAATCCACTAAAATGTCTGAAGGAGGGTGAAGTAGGGCTTTAAGCCCTAAAAATCCAAGTTGGAGGCAAAGCAACTGGAAAACTTCAAGCGCATGTACACATTCCTCCCAGCTCGCCCCTCCGGTCCATCTCCAAAAACCGGAACACCTCCGGAACCACCGTGACTCGTGGATCGTCCTGAGATCTGGAGCTTGGAAGGCCTGTGGAGCTTGGCGTAGCGTCGCCTCCACGATGTCGTTGACCAGCCTGGGTGGGGCTTCCATCCAACCCCAACAAAGGTTAAGTGACCTTATAGGACCCTACCAGGGCACCGAACTGGGATAGTCTAGAGTCTAGTTCGGGTTCTTCAACCTCTGTTGGCCAACCGCTCGTTCCGAGGTGACGTCCGTCCGAACGACACCTGGAGAAGGGAACCAAAGGGAAGAAACGGAGGAAGCCGACGGATCAACCTGAACCGACCTGATCTTGAAAAAGAATTGCTGGGCCCCCAAAAAAAATTGGTTCGTTGATGTTGCTTGGGGTAGCTAGGTGACTCATGGTGACTCCTTCAGCATATCTCAGCATCCTCAGGTGACTCCATCAGCATCCGCGTCTCCATGTCTCCTTCCGGTCCTTCCGTACCGGTCCTCTGTCCCACTCCGACCCCAGCCACCCTGGTCGCGCCGGAGGCTTCGGGTGCAAAGCGGCGGGGCCAGTGGATATCGCAAGTCGATCTCCGTCGCCAGGGAGACGGCTGGACCTGGCCGTGCGGTCCATGCAAAACGGGTTTTTTGGCCCGGGAGAAGGAGGGTACAACCAAAGACGCTAAAGCGATGTATTAAATATATGTTTAATGAAACTGTCTACGTGCATGTACATGTGTAAACGACATGGAACCAACATGCACAAATGATCATGCGAATGAATTCCACAGCTGAAGTCTGTGGAAAGTCCGTCCCTCGTCTTAGTTTGCTGTTGGGAGGTGTCAGAACCCTGATCCCTGCACCGAGCCAGAGGAGATGACTGCATCGCCTTGCGACCCGCGTGCTGCAGCCAATGACCTCGGGACACCATGCCGACGTGCCGCCACGACCAGAAACCAGCTGTGTTGAGTTCCACCGGGCAGAGCGGTTGAAGGGGTCACCCAGGGATGCCGCTTCACCCGCGAAGGCGGTCTTCTTTGTTTCACGCACTCCGTTGGTTTCTTGCCGGGAATGTGACATGGGAAGCGTCAGCGAGCAAAACTAGGAGCAACACTAAGCACATCTAAGCACCACAAAGTTCGAAACATCTTCCTCCAATTGATTGAGGTCAACTAACATAATAGGTCAAACGGTCAAACATCCTGCAGCATGCCCTGTTGCATTCCTTCATATTCCTTCAATAGGACAAAAACCTTCGGGGTTGACCAGTTGACCACCACACCCCCTTCAATCAAGTCCTCAAGATTCCCACTGAGTGGGTGAGAAACGCCCCATGTTCTGCCCTACCCGCCCCCTTGGATCGATTGGCCCAACATCCATGACCAATGACTGCATGCTCGGCACATCGGGCTTCTTGTATCTCGGCCGTTCTCCCTTTCTGCCCTCGTTCCAGAGACGGATGTTGAGGCTCCGGCAGTTGGCTGTTGCATCGCGCCGGCAATTGGCTCCAACGGCCTCCACTGGCTGTTCGCTGCCTTTGAGCAATCTTTAACCCAAAGGACTCCAAACTCCCACAGGGGTGATACGAACAGGAGGAATCCCTGAAGGACCGGACCAAGAATGCAAATCCTCCAGCCAATTCTGCGATTATGACCATAGGTATCACAGCCTTCTTGACAACTCCACCCCCCAAAAGCACCATGAACCGAACGGGACACATGAGTTGACGTGCCTGAAAACCATGTGCCTGGGGACTGCTGACAGTTCATCATCAATCATAGAGTTTCTGTTCACATTCATTCCCAAGTTGAAACCCGAAGGCCTCAGAATCATGAAGAGGCTGGTTGTGTTGAAGGGTGAGCGTCGTTACTTGATGATCGGATGGGGTTGTCACAAACTTTTTGGAGTGCTACAGTCCATAGGCTTCAGGGAAACCATGGGAAACCTTGAAGGTCCATTGACGATGCTTGCCCCCACTGCAGTGATCGTCAAATCCTCAATCTCCATCCAACCAAGTGATGCGTCAGCGGCACCAGCCTCGCTGAACAGGTGCCATAGGAACCACCCACCTGAGAACAATTGAGGAGTCAACCAACAGCATCGCTACTAGGAGCAACAAGCTACTAGGGGCGCTCCTGGCATCGCGACTAGGAACAAGAAGCTGCTGGTAACGAAGGGCATCGCTACTAGATGGCTCACTAGGGCCTAGGGCCACCCTAAGGGTCTTACCCTTACCTGCCTTACCTGTCTCTCATAAAGAAAACCCTCGAAATCACACAAGTTGAAGTGCTCTTGTCACATCAGAAATTTTGAGTTCGTCTATGTTCGGCTTCTACCCAGATCCAGGTTGCTAGAATCTGAGAGACGCCCAAGAGAGACCCTCCCACCACTCCGTCCGCGCCCAGGCGCCGTCCCACGGGCACTTGCGCCGAGAAGGTGACGCCTCGGCGGCTCCGACCGATCCTGACCGGTCGCGGTGCGGTGCGCGCGGATCACTCGGCGCGCCCGGTGCTCTGGCGTTCCGCCCGATGCGAATCGGAGCATTTCTTTAGCAGAAATCGATGCGATGCCATGCCTTTCGCCATCTCCCGACGTTGAAGGGTTTCCACATGTGTTTCACATCCAAAATGATGCATGAGAGAAAATGTTGATGATTTCTGACCTAGGATTCCAACCACCATTGATTGTTCAATGTTGTTTAACAAGCAACCACTGTTCTATTTATCAGGGTTTTACACTACAAGATCCAGCTCAACCACGTCTTTGCTGCTTTTGGAAGCTAGAGTATTCTCTTCAACTTCCGGGAGATGAACCAGCGCCTCAAGCGAGTGTATGGCGGATGCCAGAGGAGCCCAGTCTCCAGACGGTGCCTAGGATCCTTTACATGCTTTCACCACTTCATCGATCGCTTCGAATTGCGCTTCAAAAGCTGCTGGGAAAAGGAAAGGTCTCAGATCAAAGCCTCAGTGATGGTCATCATGCTTTGCCCAACTGCAAAGCAATAGGCCTCTCCAAAAAGCAATAGAAGGAACATATATATATATATATATAAGGGACCAATGAAAAGCACTGACTGAAGGAATGAACGCGCATGTTCGACAAGCTGTTTTGTGAGGATATGGACCGCTCAAGTTAGGCCATGTCCCTTCGCCACAGCACCTGGTGAGAAAATCATAGAAAATCAGCAACCAGCCGTAATCTTCAGGTGAGAGATGTCGAGAGCAACATATCTCCTCTCTCCCTGTCTCACCATTCAGTCACAGTCCCAGGGTTGGACCCAACATATCAAGAGTGGGTTCTGGACCACGCCATGAAGAACATACCGTGGTTTCAGAGTAGATGGCACAATCCCCAAAAGGGGGTTTATATGCACCCCCGTACAACAAAAGACATCTTTGGGTTTGCGCCATCAAACCTCTGAAACCACTGTAGCAAATGTTGAATCAGGACTTCCTTCGTCTCCCTTCGTGAACAATAATGGGATCTCGGAAAATCAACATCTAAGAGCGACAATCCCGTGTCCAAGTTGATAGATGTCCCACAGAAAAACACTGATGACAAATGCCCTAACAAGCCTTCCACACACCTCAAAGGACCTTCTACTGAGGGAGAGGGCAGCTGGAAAACCCATTGATTCACGAATTGCTGCACCCTTCTCTCGAGAAGTTCTGCTTGTGATTGCTTGTGTGTAGCTCGTTGTAGACTACTGTAGGTCTATACACCTCACCGGAAGAAGAACACCTTCCTCACCCCACCGGCCCAATCCACGAAACGGTTGTCGTCCGGGGAGTAGTTCTCCGCATGGTAGGAGGGCGTCAAGGTGGTCATCCTGAGCTGCTTGCTGCTTGAGCAAATCTGCTCAGTGCCACTGGAAGGGCGTTCGGACGGTGGAGCGGACCTTCGGGCTGCGTTGGAGAATACATATGATTGCATCTCTCTATATATATACATATATGGAGCAAATATAATAGCAATGCATCAAATCAACTTGTGACCCCAAATGATCAAGTTGGGTCCCATGCCATATAGCAATACGCCAGTGTATGGGATAAACTATGATACACTTGGAAGGCTGTTGATTGGGAAGCTACCCTAAAATGACCAAGTGGGGTCACTTGATCCGGCAAGGTCCTGTCTCCGCGTGGAGTAACGCGTGGAGTACATACGTACTGTATTTGGTGGAGGCTCTGGAGGAGAGCAAACCCAAAACTAACACTGGGTTGTTCCACGATCTATCGCATCCATTAGGTCCAATATGTGTATATATATATATATAACACTACATATAACTATGAATATATGGCTCTAAACATATGCTCTGCCGGCCTTGACGCCACAGATTTCTCCACACATGTTCATTGGAGAGGCCCTCCTTTGTTCAGCATCAAATCCTTCCAGATCGTGTCCAGATTTCACGCCATGGACGTCTTCCGTGGGCGTGAGCGTTTTCTCACCCTGGAGGACAAGGCTTCATCTGAGCGTCTTGTGTCGATTGATGGCATTGTAGAAGTAGAAGTCCTTCACCTGACGCCAGGTAGAGACGACCACAAGAAGAAGGTCGGATCGGCGAGAGGCACAAACAGGAATTTGCTGGAGGGTTGTGGGTCATTGGTAGAATGCAGTCATTATATGTTATTATAGGTTTGGGATTGAAACTCCAGCACAATACTATAAGCAGTCAGTCTAGTGGCCATGCCCTTCAAACATGCACCAGTGATCGCAATTGTTCCTGCGTTTCCGCCAGCTGGTCCATGTCCATCCTACAATTTGGCAAGCTCGAAATAACTCTGTGTCCAAAACAGGGCGTCCTGCAGTGTGGCCGTGCCAAGTCAGAGCACAAGAAACCCAAGTCACAGCGCCCAGCGCTTCTGTGTTTTGGTCAACTCGTCCAACACCTCCCCATCGGACTCATCAAATAGAGGGTCTCAATAAGTCATAATCAGCTTTCAGATCATCCGGGCTTTTCATTAGCAGCAAGGGTATCGCTATTAGTAAGGTCATCGCTATCCAGGCCATGTCCAGCCCTTTCATGGAAGGCATGAGCCCTTCGGTTTCTCCCCACAGCGGGAGCGGACGAACCCTGGGGCCTTCTGCGCTACCTTCTCATCAAAGCTTTGAGGCTGAACCTTCACACGGATCGACGGGGTGATGGCCTTGTCGTTGTCCTGCACCGCGAAAGCGGAGAACAGCGTTACAAAAGCGAAAAAGCAAGACCACCGTGGCGTGTCTGGAGATCTCAAGATTGATTTCTGTCATCTTCAGTCTACACCCAAGATGCTAAATTCATCGTGTGTGCGAACCCACATGTAGCGCATGATGCCCGTGCGCGGCTGTGAACTCATGTCTGAAGGAGGAAATTGTTGGTTCTGGGTTCCTGGCACCAAGTTTTCTGGTTACTCCTTTGGCTTTCTTCAGTGCTTTGTATCAGTCAACTTCTGGACATAAGAGAATCTGAACCTGCACGTTCGGAAGGCTTCTATGTTTGTCAGTGCGGAGACTATAGTGACTATATAGTGCAGCAGCAATTGATGAATCTCCTTCGAAAAATGTAATTCCTTAGGCAAAAAGGTGATATACCCCTGGGCTCGTGATCTTTCTGAAACTCCCCAAGAAGAAACGGCCCCAACTTAGTCCAACATCGGCACCGGAGGACGGTCGGACCGATGTCATGGCGCAGGTACGATCGACCGCAGAAACCAACCTCGGGACCAAACACATCGACCCACCTGTAGAGGTTACAGTGGTTACAGCCGTCGACTATATATGAATATAGGTGAACCACGGTGAATATAAGTGAATCATTGCCATCCACACGTTCCAGTTCATCCAGCTGATTGCATTTAGTATATATTTGTGTATTATCTATTAATGAATGTGTATATATATAGTGATATATATAGGCACCCTGTGGTGGTCTAGAAATTGGACATAATTGGACACTTGGAACGGGACCTGCGTTCATCTACTCTCTCTCCCTCTCTCTCACTCTCTCTCGTTCCAATCAAAATCCGTATTCATCTACACTCCGATACCAATATCCTGCTCTTCAACCCCCCCTGCCACGCACTGTCCCTCCAAAAACCACCGACCCAGCCCTCCGACCTCTCCTGCGGCCCTGTCCAGTCGGCCGTCTTGTGGGACCAAAGTTGTCGCAGCTTCAGGAAGGTGGAGAGGGGCCCGCACTTCTCCACCTGACCGAAGGGGGTGAGACGCTGGCACTCAGGACTCATCCGGTGTGCAGCGATTTTCGAACGGTGTGCAGCTTCTACTCACGCAACAAAAGGAACAATAATGATACAATGCTCGTGCCACTAACAAAGAAACATAGGCCCCACCTATCCTCGTTTAGACTCTTGAGAGGTGTTGGTGTAACCTGATGCTTTGGAGGTCATGGGATGCTGAGATCACACTTCCAATGTCAGGTCCAGGGGCGTTGTCACTAGAATCCTTGGGTCCGAGTCCTTGCTGTCTTTTTGGGCCGCAAGCTTGTCGGCAAACCATTACACCATTGAGTGATAAATACCAGACAAACTAACATACGAATACTGATACTACTTGTTCGCAGCGATAGTCTCCCACCTCTTTCCCCAACACTGGCTGGCCACTCTCCTTCCGCCATTGGCTTTCCTCCTTCCCGCGCCTTCCGGAGATGTCCCAAATCGCCGAGCTCATCCTGACGCCGTGAGGCGTAAGAGCAGTTGGAAGGAGAAGGCGCTTCGGATCCTGTAAACCCATTCCTGAGAAGCCTGGTGGAAGAGATAATGTGTTAAGAGGCAGTAACAAGAAGCTACTAGTGGCGCTAGTAAGGCCTTACTACTAGTAACAAGAGGGCATCGCTACGAACGGAGCAAGAAGCTACTAGTATACAGCAAGGCCACGTTGTCTGAAGTTTGGGCTAAAAGGTCCTGGAGGACCCTTCAACTGTAGGCCTGTATGCATCATTCCTGCTCAGGGGCAATGGTCTCCTTGGAGGGGACCACAAAGAGGAAGCACTTGGGGTGGACCTGCCCTACAGCTTCAATTGAGCACCATTGGCCTGACCTGGAGCTACTCTTGGAGCTAAAGCACGGTGAGCAGTTGGCAACCCAGCATTATGGACCCTTCTAACTTCCAGGGTAATGCCGTTGTTATTTTTCCTCTCTCTCTCTCTCTCTCTTTCTCTCTCTCTCTCTCTCTATCCCTCTCTCTCTCTCTCTCTCTCTCTTTGTCTCTCTTTTATCTTTTCTAACTTTTTTAACCCCTGTCAGCCCCTGTCCTCTTATCAAGAACCAAGTTCTAATTAACAAGTCAAGTCCGGAACCCCTACTATTCCTTAAAGTATCATCCCATTGTTCTTTGGGGCAGGTATTTTGTATTTAGGTATTGGTCATCAATGTTAGCAATTGTTTTTTGTCTAAACCCTGATTTGTTTCCTTGTAGCGGTGTGCTCAATTGTCGGTTTGATTGCAGTCATGCGGCATATAACATCACTCATCCAACAACTTGTTTGATTGGAGGCTTCTCCAAACGTCCAGCTCCGAAGTCGATTATTAGGACCTGCTCTTAAAACTGCTGACATCTGCTAACTTAAAGGATTTACACCAACCATCTCCAACGCAATTGGGAGAGCACCCTCCTCTCGCCAAGGGTCGTAAGACATGCCCATGTCTTTCTCGTCACTTTGCTCTTCCACCTTCTTTCCACCCTCCACCTACACAGGTCAGGGGTCAATTGCATTACTGCGATGCTGCCGTTGTGATATTGTGATCTGTGTCGTTAGCCCACCATAGGAAACAATGGCGCAATCAGGCCAGAATTATCCAGAAGTAGAACCAGGTGTGGCCCCACTTGCTGATAGGAACTGACTAGTCGTTTTTGAGTCCTGTTTTAGTTGAGAACCATTGATAACCTTTTGGGTTTGCTCAAGAAAACGGACAATTAATAATTAACCCTTATCTTCACCAAAAGGGGATTCACGACATTCTCTCGGAGCCTTCAACAAGACCAAGACCAAGTTATATACAAGGAAGCAACACCAGGACCCTCCGCCTTCTAATCCTTCTATGCCTGGACCCATGGAGCAAAACCACGGATTTCTCTTTGCAAAACCACGTCGCACGAGTCGATCGCGCAGGAGGAGTGGTTGCCCAGAATGGACTCTTTTGGAGTTCACCTGGGGGTCATCCGCCATCATTGACCATCCTCCACCCCCAGCATAGGGGAACATGAAATTTTGACCATGGATTTACATAACATCGATTGAAATGGTCTATTTTGGGACTCTCAGAGGCGGCCCCTGCAGACTCCTGTTTTTTCATCGTCTTTGATCCATCTCTTGTGAACGGATCCGTTGGATGTAGCGGAAGGCAGGCGTGACTTCGTCCTCCTGGGACGACGAAATCGTGCCGGAGGTGGGGGGACGCAAAGACCCAAGTGGGTGAAGGGGCATAATGGAAGTTGTAGCTTACAGTAGCTCGCTGGAGCCGCTGGATCGGGCTGAAACACTGAAAACATCTGAAAACACTCTCAAATCTGCCAAATCTTGGCATCTGGCTGTTCTCTTCCAAGTGGTTCAATTCACTTCCACCTGGGTGAGCTTATCTATCTCGGTGAGCATCAAACCTCCAACCTCCAGCGACAGGACCGGAACGCGCTCCGGCAATTATACAGAAAGACCCTGGGCGGAAATGTCATGCAGGCAAATAGTGCTCCAAAACTCCAATTTAGAAGGCCTGTTCAGCGGCCTTCATTGCATAGCATCATGCTACGCATGTCACCCCCAATGTCCCATCATGCTCAGCACGTGAATCAAACACTTCAGCTCCGTCCTTCCCACGGTTCCCTCCGTCCTTCCCACGGTTCTGATCCGGATGCAGCTTCCGCACCAGGCGCCGCAGCAGCAAGCGCCGGCCCTCGGACGTGGTCTCTGCCTCCAACTCCGCCGCCACCGACTGCAGGAGCTGCCCAGCGGGGCTGCCGGGTGGAGCGTCCTGACGGGTCGGAACCGGCCATGACGCCGGCACCAATGGGGTGAACATGAAGGAACAAAAACAAAGAATTGCTTAAGCATGCTTAGTAGGGAATAAATGGAATAAGCCCCCCAATAGAGATTCTATTGGATCCAGCCACCCTCATTCCCTGCTTTCGTCGCACGTACCAGTCAGTCATAGCTCTTCTCTTGCGTGAAAAGATAGGAATTGGATGGAATTGGTTCCAGGTCGTGAGAAGAGAAGATCTCGCCAATGCTTCCTCTTTAGATGGGGATCGGTCATCCCCCTGGAGTCTTGATGGAGGTGGTTGCATCATGTGGTATAAAGACCCCCTTGTCTCGTCCCATCATCCGACTTTGCTCCGTTTTGGTCAGCTTCTGGCACCTCGGTAGCTGCACTTTCTGCAAGAGGCCCCCCGGACGTCCTCCACATATTGAGGCTCAGGCGGCTGGTAGAAGCTGCCATAGAAGTCTCGTGGCGTTTGCCCCCGCGGTCCGCGGTAGATCCGTGGGTCTGGGGGCATCCTGAGGCAGTCAAAGACGTCAACGCCCTCGCTGCAATAGGAATACGCCTTCCAAACACTTCTCAAAGCAAACTTGGAAACAGGCACCAAGTGCTGTATTTGTAGGCCGGGATGGAAGAATGACAACTTGTTGGCACATCTGTCGTTGCCACAATAAAGTGGCCACCAGCCGCCTGAAGACATATATTTGGATATGCGGGTCTTATTTGTCTCCCCCGCGAGAACACTCCTGTTTGGCGGTTAGCACTACAATATCTACAAATAGCCAGTCACCGGTGCTGGGATAGGTCGGCACATCATCCACCCAGGACCTATCCCAAATCCAAGCATCTTAAAGCTTCCGGTAAAAAGCTGCCCAGCATCCCGAAAGGCTTCCGCCGCGCGCAGCAAGGAATTCACCACCTCGCCCTCACCTGAGCCACTGAATGAACTAGTCCCCAGAACTGTTCATCTTCCCGATCTTTTTGGATAAAAGCCGGCATATACCGCAAATTGCACGAATACTATCAACATAATGGATCGTTTTCTTCCATATATCTGCTTTCCTCCCATCCCGTCCCTCATTAAAAATATCTCCCCCCCACCAAACACTTTTGGCTGTCTTCCAAGCCACCCAGCCGGGAGATCACATTCTCCAAGTTCCGCGACAAGCGTCCTCAGTAGTGGATCCCCCCCCCCCGGTCACCCCCCACGCCCGGGAAGAACGCTGCGACGGGCCGACGGAACGGCCGAAAAGCCCGCGGCGGCCGAGACGCTCAGCGATCGGCTCCCGGCTTTCCACTCGCAGCTGGGGATGGGTTCCTCGTAGGCGAACAAGTCCACAAGGCCTGGCGTGGGTGAGGATGGGAGGGGAACTCAAGCGCAAGCGCCGTGGCGTGGAGCATTGAGCATCCACAAGTTCAAGATGGATGGTTTTCTTTGTGGGGCATGCGATTTCCTCCCTTGGCATGCCCTGTTTCTACTTGGATTAGTCACCATAGAATGGAACAATTGCAGCAACGTGTTGTTGCGAACCATGCGCAACATGGAAGTGCATCAAACAAACCGGCCTAAGCCAAGTACGAAATGACTTCAATTCTGTGTAACTGTAGCTGTTTAGGTCCTTCTTGGTCCATCCCGCAGGGATTTCTCGGCCGGCCTCCTGGGCCCCCGAAAAAGGGGTGTCGAATAATAGCTCCTTAGAGGTTAAGGGGTGTCCATTAACCACCCCAAACCGGGGGCCCTGGTTTAGATTATTTAGCTTGTTTTGTTTGTGCTTTTTTTTTTGACATGTTTTTAGGAATTTTTAGGCGTACTTCTCGACCTCGATCAATCTCAGCACGAATCTCCCAAACGATTACGAAGTGGCCGCTTAAACGCAACAAAAGGCATCCGTTCAAGGGCAACAAATCCGCCGAAGCGAACATGTAGAAATGCCTTTTTAAGGTTGACTGCATGCTTGCATCTAGTAGGGAGGCCACTCAAGGATTAGCCGCTGGCGGATCTTGGGTTCCTCAAAAGAACAACCCTGTCCAGTCAAAAGTACTCGATGTTGACATCAAAACACATGTTTGTCTTCCAGGCCTAGTCAGCCGTCAATTAAGGAACATCCAACTCCACTCAAACTAGCCGATCTTTGTCTCAAAACGGATGTTCTTTCACTATACAGGCTTTCGCAATCATCAAAACTAAAATATAACAAGAAAGGATCCCCATTGCTGCCGACTATAGAAGTTCACCCCTCATTTTATCCAGAAATTGGTTGAATAAAATGACTTTCACACACCAAAGGTCGGCACAAGTATTTTAATCTGAACAGCTAGTGAAAAAAGAAAAACAACTTTCTCACAATGCTATCTATCTAAAACAACAAACTAGTTTGACAAGTTTGCGAATCCATCCGTGCCAACATGTTTCTCTTTTTAAGACCAATGTCAAATCACCCTTAAACTAAATGAGACAAATGTAATTGGTTTTCCGTGGTCGATAGGCGGTGGCAACGGGGATCAAAAGGATGAACAAAGCAAAGCAAATTGGAAGGAAAAAGCAAACATAGAGAAACACATAGAAACACTAATTATTACATATTAGAAACATAATGCATGAATAGGAACTCAGTCTATGCTATCTTGTTTCCTATGTTTGTGATGTGTACAAGTTTATGGAAGAAGAACATTAAAGTCAACAATGAGAAACACTTGGTCTGTCTGTGTTTCAACTTTTGCGCCACCCCGCCGCCACCGCCATGGAGCCATTGTGCATGCTGAGTCATCAATCACTTGGCCCTGCGAGTTGGCCCTGCTTGGTCCGTCCAGAATGTAACCAGGTCCTGAATGCCTTGAGGCACACGTCCCTAGTGGAAGCTGGAATCTGAGAGCAGAGTGGACACTATCCTGCTGAGCTGCGGGTTCCTATTGAAACTTTCCAAGCCTGTAGCAAAATAGAACATGAACACCCACTCACAGTTTCTGCTTGCTTCAGGAACCCACATGATGAGGGTACAAGAAGGCACCCATATAATATGAGCCGAAAGAATGCATACGTACGTGCACCCATTGATACCTTTTGATACCTGGATTCCCTTGCAACGGAGCATCTCAGAAATGCCCCTTCTCCGCCGACCCTTGGCTTCGCTCCCAAGAACGCCGACCCTTCGCTTCAACAGCAAACCCCTGGCGCTTGCGGGCACACGCACTGGACGAGCGTGTTACGCTTCCAGCGCCTTGCATGGCTTGGGGCGGCAAGAAGCCCTCGCAGGAGACGGCAGCGACCTGGCAGAGTGTTAAGTCCGTTTCACCCCGTTCACCGATCCTTAAAGCTACCAACTCATCTGGAAGATTCAATTGAGTGACTAAAAATAAAACCATTAAGCAATAATTAAGATTCAATTAAGATCCAGTCTCAGAACCCTGGTTTTGATCCAATTCATAACTAAAAAGCAGGGTTCTGGCAAAAGGTCCGGACTACCGTAATAATAGAAGGCGTGACCTATATGTATACACTAATCATACTACTAATCATCCTTGAGTATATAGATAGAATTAGATGGTAAAAATGTAAATCATATGATTGAAAATAGCTGATGGTTTTGGACACGAATACTACACATGAAAGAATGACCCATAGATGCCATAGATAGAATATTGGGATGTTATCAATGTTATCAACTGTCCTTTGTTTTTCCTCTTTCTTTCTTGCCCTTTTCCTACTCGTCTTCTTGTTTTTCTGGCAAACGACCACTTCTTAAGGACATCGTGCAGTGAACCATGGGCCGAACAAAGGGAAGGAAAAGGGGGATGGCGAGCCCGCTGGGCGGTTGGTGACACCCATAGATAGAATATTGATAGAATGTGTGTGAATATATCTGTCATTCTTCTCTTGATCAGAGATTCCGGTAACTTCTCGATGAAAATAATCATTCGCTAAAATCCACATTCTATCTATGTTTTGGCCTTGACCTAAGCATTTGTTGAACATGAGGACATTATATCCACTCCAGGAGGATTACACATGATTGTACATCGAAGTTCTCTTGATTCCGGCGAAGTGTTGGCATCTGTTTGCCATTCAATTTCTGTGACTTGACGCAGTAGTGACTCAGTAGTGCATGGTCCAGGTAGTTGCAAGTTGACCAACGTTCATCCGTCCAATAGAATGAAACAGCTTTCATAAGTGCCAACCAGGACCGACAAGGTCTCGAGAGCCAAACATGTTTACGGGGTCATCCACCTTCCAGGCGGTTCCAGTGGCCGGGCAACAAGTATTTGCACTCAGAAACTAACCAAGTTTGCCTTAGCTGATGGCTTGCCTGCAGCCGCATAGGGGAGATGTAAACTCAAAATAAACGACACACAGAAATGGTTTCGTTGCAGTAGAGTCCCTACCACATGTCACCACGACCTCACCACACATTGCTCAATGGACATGTATTTGCCCTAGGGCTCCTGGCCCACCTCCGTTTCGAAGATGGGCCAGGGCTGGGTGCCAGGGGGGTCTAACCACCGAACCTGAGGATATGCGACTGGAGCCCTAGGGTTGTCGTATTTGTGCCTCCCAACTTAGATGCATTCCGCGCTCCGGGGGGACCGAGACACAGCACATGGTATGTTTCTAAGGAGATTCATCAATTGCTGCTGCACTTTTGTCACTATAGTCTCCGCACTGACAAACATAGAAGCCTTCCGAACGTCCAGGTTCAGATTCTCTTATGTCCAGAAGTTGACTGATACAAAGCACTGAAGAAAGCCAAAGGAGTAACCAGAAAACTTGGTGCCAGGAAACCAGAACCAACAATTTCCTCCTTCAGACATGAGTTCACAGCCGCGCACGGGCATCATGCGCTACATGTGGGCTCGCACACACGATAAATTTAGCATCTTGGGTGTAGACTGAAGACCGCGATAGACCAGGTTGACTCGCGCTTGACTCGCGCTAGATAGACCCGCCATTTTTCCGGGACCGGCCTCGCCTCTAGCTCTCCCATGGCGCTTTCCCAATCCTCATCCAGCATCATATCCTCTGTCTGAGTTCCAGAGATGGCCGGAGATCAAGGAATGGAGTGGATCAGAGAATATGAACCCCGAGACCGGAGGGTGTGGATTCTGCCCCCCCAAAAATCCATAGATTCTGCGTGATGATTCAAAAGGAACTGCTAGTTCTCCAAGTGAATGAAATCAACTTGGCAGGTGATGGTGTGTCAGGGGAGTGGTCCATCATCCACCCTTTCAGGTGTTTTGAATGTTTTGATCAATCTACCACTCGCTTGTCATGGGTCATGCTCTTTCAGGGGGTTCTCCACCTTCAGGTTCCTGAGCCTAGGTCCTAGGTTCCTCATGCCCATCCCGAGTCTGCGAAGCCAATCCGAGCATCTGCTGCGCTGCGGAGCGCCAGCGCGGCGGCCCCGAGGCCCTGCGGGGAGAACTTCCGGACGTCCAGGGCTTGGAGGCCCAAAGGCGCGGCAGCCAGGAGGGCACTCACCTGGTGAGGCTTGGACGAGGGCACGTGCCCTGCTTTGCTTTTGAAAAGTGGTTCCGGATGGCAAACCACGGTACAACAAATGTGTGTTTAGTTGACTGAGATGTGACCCCATGGAGGTGGCTTCTGTGATCTTCTCCAAGGTAAGAGAAAGAGATCACTGCCAAGGTAGCGGGTTCTCCTACACCTCTGAACGCTGATCTTGCAGCATGCACTCACAAGGTCAATGAAGCATGCTTGTGATGCGTACAAACAAACCAAAAGTGTCTTGTCCAGGTCTCTTGGGACAACCAAACCCCGCTACCAGTGAAGGCCACAACGGATGTTTAAAACGTACCAACCATGACAGCTCCAGCGCGAACAAGAGCTCAAAGCAGCCCAGGGCCCAAGAGCTCTTCCTCCAATCGTAAGCGGAAAGACAAACAACAAAGCAATTTGGATGTCCTATCAATGGGGTAGGTGCCAAGATTCCAGTAGAGGATGTGCACAATAACTCATTTTTCGGGACCCTGTTTGTTTTACAGAAATCTTCGTGGGGGAAGCCTGACTGGCTTTCTTTTCCTGCTCCTTGCCATTCCCTTCACCAGCTCCCGACTCGCAGTCCCCACCTCCAAGAGCTCCTGACTCGCCGCCGTTCGAGGCCGCGCACCGGTCGAAGTGAGTTCGGACGCGGACGCGGACGCAACCGGGTTGAGCCTGGTTGACGTGGGTCTATACAAATCTTTACAAAGGGAGTAAGCGGAGTGAAGGAGCCACAGTCTACAGGCCCCGCGAAAAAAGCTTTTTGGATGGTCCTGGGGATGAAGGAGTTCCAAAGAAGGACCGCAAGAAGCTAGGTGAATTTTCCGGAACCCTGGACATTGGAAGTTGTTGAGCTTTCCAGTTCCCAAAGAGGGGTCAATGACGATATATACGTTATCTGTTCAATACATCGAACGTCTGGTTATTGCTAAGCACTTCATGAAAAATACCGACTGTCAGTGACACACCCGGGCACCTTGAAATGTGTGGGCCAAGGGCCAAGGGCTGCCTCTGTGTAAGTCGCTCCTACCCCTACTCAGCCCTACCCACAGCAGTCCTGCTGGTGGGGGACACCAGTTCAAAGTTTGAGTGGTTGATTGTGTGTTCTCCAAAAGTTGCCTACAAAATCATGGGGGTGCACTTATCGAACTGGCTTGTTAACATCCAAGTAGGAGAATGCCCTAACCTCCAGTGGACAATCAGAAAAAAACATAAAAAAATAAGGAAAAACACAATAAGTATCTAGTGACTTGTAGTAGTGACTGCCGATCCCCGGGCTTTCAAGGTTTTTGGTGATCATATGTGATCATGGTCCTCCCAATGGTTGGTGGAGTCTTCCCAGAATCCTGGCGACCATCATTGACCTTCAAGCCGGGAAAAGCCGATGCGCCGATGAACATCAAAGCAGGTTGCTTCCAAGAAAAAACCGATCTTCCCCAAGCAAACCCACTCGTTCGACCAGACTGTCTCTTCCCTCGTTGCTTCTGATCTTCTGCACCCCGAGCGACGTCGGCCGCCGCCCAAAGATTTCGACCCAGTGCGATCAGCAACTCTTCGCTCCTGGAGGCTGTGCAGCGGATAGCGGCACAAGGTCATCGTAACTCACCAATAGAGCGGCACAAGGTCCGAGTCCTCACTCAACAAGCACCCAATACAACTAGTATTGCTTATACAATTACATCCACTGAGACGACAATTCGACTTTCTGCTCATGCATGTTGGCCCTTCATGCGTTTGATAGATGCCACATCCCAGCCCCTCCGCTCCTCTCCGCTGAGATCTCTGACTGAGCGTCTTCCGCCCGTTGGCGCTCCGTCCGCGTGGTGCGGCCATCGTGCGAGGCCTGTGGTGCGGCATCTTGGCGGCTCAAGTAGCGTTCAGGGTGGTGACCTAATTTGGACCAGGTCTGTAAACTGTCCTCTTCAGCTAGGGCCCTTCAGTTAGGGCCTTTTGCCATGCAAGAAACGGCACACCATCGAGTTGAATTCGGGTAGGTCATGGGAAGCTGTTAGGCTGTTAGCGGAAGTGCACCCAATCATCCAGATGGACCCCCCGCTGTCAATTAAAGGGCCTTGAGATCTGACATTTCGAGTCGACATGCTTTCTTCAGAAGCAGACTCTGGCTGACTCCCTCAGTTGGAAAATTTTTGCACCTATTCGTTATTTGAAATTTGTGGGGAACCAAACCAATCCCTCAAAAGGGTTGGGCAGCGGCAGGTTATCCACTTTTCCTGGGTAGGTCACTGAACGTGAGGCTTCTCACAGGTCACATCCTTCACCCTGAGCATCCACCAAATGACCAAAGAAGCAAACCCGGCATGGAACGATGAGGCCTGAAACTCGAACGGAAGCTTTAACGCCTGAAGCTTCCGGGCTATGAGCCGCAACTCCATCTCTTACTTTAGCAGTCAGCCTTTCCACATCGTTCAGCTTTAAAAAAAACATGAACACGAGCGAAGACCAGACCCCAATGTGGTGGTCTTGGATCTACTTATATACTCCAACTTGGATGTGGTGGTCTTGCAGGGTGAACCGCGTGGGCAACAAAGGAAGGCAAGGCAAAAAGGACTTGGAGTGTGATGTAGTGACGTGGACATAGCATATAGACAGTTCAACATCTGTTCATATTGTGGCATGATGATCCAAGACTTAGACTTATATGACTTATATATAAATGGATGTGTTGGTGGGTCCGCTGTCTTCCTCCAATGGCGCGAACGGCTCCGCCTGGCTCAGTCCACAAAAGGTCCACAGCCGACCAACGGCTAGAAGCAGCCCAAAGGACAGAAGCCCGCGCTTCGGCATGGCAATTTGGCAAACAGGATCTTTGATCTTTATTGAATATGTGTTGCAAAACACGATGTGGAAGATACCCCCCATCTTCGAAGAAGGTTGCAGGGCTCGGTTGCGTTACAGGCTTTCACATGGAGACATTGGAAGATCAGCGAGGCCCTTTTCTTTCATTGTTAACAGTAACATGTTGTGAAACACCAAGGGTCATAGTCAAACTGGTCTATCTCAAGTTTGTGTTGCTGCGCAACAAAGCTGTTCACTGGTGAACGATGGACATCCAGGTCCCATGTCGGGATATGTTGGGGGGGTCACTTATTACCCCTTGAACACGGCATAACGTTTTCATCATGCATAAGTATCCGTATAGTTGGAAGAGATTGGCGGCTAAGGCCGCAAAACGCGCTGTCCATTCAGCCGGGCACGTCGGCGATGGCCGTCGAAAGCCCGGTGGATCCATTCAGTTCTTGATGTCTATTCGCTTCCATGGAGTTGAAGAGCGCACCAGGAAAAAGTCGAGTTCGGTGGTTGGACACTTAGTCTTATCAGCTAGGGGTCGCTAGGGGCGGCAAGTTTATGTCCATTTCAGGGAGGGTTCTGGCTATCAGCTTGATCGGCTTGGACCCTGCCTCACCAAGAACGGGAAATGGTCCAAAAGGATATATAACTTAAGTATATAGGTCTAAAACAAATAAGGAAACGTTTAAACATAAATGGTCCAAGAGCAGAAAGGAAACATGGGACATAGGAAACATTGGCGTCAGTCCTTTTTCTGTGTCTGCCTGATTTTTGTGGACGGCTTTGTTGACGCTGGGTTGCCAGCTCCGCGGTGAGGGATTCTGGTATTGACTCACATCATCTCACATCCAGGAGGGGCTCACGAAAATATTTCTCTCTCTCTCTCTCTATCAGGAGCAAAGTAGCAAAGTATCTTCTGCCACCAGCTGCAGCCCTTCAGCTCTTCCTTTTGGTTCTTTAGCAACGGCCGGTCAGCGGCCATTTTGGCCCCACAAGCCCTCGGCATAGCCTGAAGTGCCATAGTAGCCTCGTGAGCCGAGCGTTGTGGTGAGGTGGTTGAAGCGATAGCCTTCCGTCTCTCCCTCTTGGATATCACTCATCTTCTTGACATGTTCCAAAATGTGTTCAGGAGTGTTGACTGATAGCAAGCGAGGCTGCAACGCAAATGGTCTAAACAAAACACTTGAAACCCTGTGAATCTTCAACATTGCAAGACTAAGGGCCAAGAGCACCAATCGTCAAAGCTCGGCAGCTTAAAGCATGCTTATCACGTGCCCTGATCTTTCATGTTTTTTGGGGCAGGATTTGACCTAACTCTCCACCACACATGGTGGGGACCTCCCATCACTGTCCACCTGAGGCCTCAGACGTCCGAGGCCTCCGATGGACGTCCTCGCACGCCGAGGCGCGGTCCCCGAAGTCGCCCACGCCAGGCACGATGAAGAACTTCTCATTGAGATGAGAATCCTTTTCAGCCAAATCACTGGGGCCCAGTGAGGGACTTGGGGATGTGTGGGGATGTGTGGGGCTTCATCTGCTGAGGTAGCTCTGTGCGTCTGTTTGGTTTGGGGACTTGGGGAGGTGTTTTTCATCACGAGCCGAGCCCTTACTTTCAAGGCCTGAAAGGGAATGGTTTTAGGAGGTTTTGGCCCCAGGAGACTGTTATTGTTGACCTACCTTATTACCTTTGGCCAATCCTCACATGAATTTTGCGATGGGCAGGACAGGCCCAGTTTTCGGGGGCTCGGCAGGGTGTGAATTCGGACAGTTTAAGCGACCCGCCCCTGGGAGGGGCGCCGAAAATCAGTTTCAACACTTTATGGTAAGAATATTGGGGGATGAATCGGGGTGCACATTCACTTCCTGCAGATAGATACCTGTGTCATTGTCCAAAGGAAAAACTCCCATCCTATAATCTATTGCATCACAACTTTGTCAATCACGATGGCTGTATATCAACATATATGAACACGTACCCGCGCAAACCACGGCATGGCTATATATCATGGAATGCGCACGTTCTTACCACGCCACCACGCGAATGAAAGCCACTTGCGAGGGATTAGACTCAACTTCTGGGAGTACAGATGGAACATTGCGGAATAGGGCTCAGCGAATCACGACCTTTAGAGCAAGAGCCACAAACTAAAGCCCATTGGTTGGGACCTGGCTGGCATGGCCGAGTGGATATGACGGGGTTCAGCTAGGGGTGGTCCGGGGGTGGCCCTCACATGTGTCCATGTCACTGAGTCCTGGTTCTGCATCACGACCGCCCCGCTCCAGGACGGCTCCCTGTATCATATCCGCATCACCAAGGAAGTGTTCTGCATGATCTTTGCCATCAAAAACCGTTGACTACAAAAATGGAGTGCCCAAACCCACTCGAAAGCAAGATTCCAACACCAGGCACCGTTGACACTGCAACAACTCACAAATACAGTGGCTCAAAATTTGGATGCATATGGAAACCATCCAAGCCCATTGGCTACAGGAAAACAACCACCTGCAAATCACCGGGTCCGGTCTTATTAACCTTATATCTTACTTATTGGGCACCTCCGTCCCCCGACCCTACACCACGAACCAAACCTTTCAACGCAAAAAAAGCACGCCAGCTGGGCGCCAGCTGCTGGGAGCCGGAGCAGTTTGGCCGTGTGTCCAACGCGCAGGTGACGATCTTCACTTTGGGTGCACGTTGAGCCAAGGCCTTGAGGCCTTCGGGACAAGAGACCACATTGATGAAGAGGATGTTCTCCTCAATTCAATCACGCGGCGCTGTGCGTGTGTGTGTCTCACAGATGGTCTGGTCTGAGACGTCTTCAAACAAAAACGCAGGGAGATATATTAATTAGGAGGTTCTATAATGAAAAGGAAACACTGCGAAGAGGATGCGGCGGAGTTGACCTGCCTGCGACAGTGCTAGCTAAGCGCATGCTAAGCGCTGGAGCCGGTCACGAGGTGATTCCCTGAAAGCACCGAGCTCATTCCGCTCGTCTACATTCGTACCCTTGGTCCACCTGGAACCCCTCGGTCAACTTGGGACTCGGTGGGCGAGCAAGTTGTGTTGGCCCGAGTTGGTTCTGCATTTCTCTACGCCATGTTCGGCTCAATGGTTGAATTCTTGAAATGTGACAAGTACCAGCACCCTCCAACAGGTCACCAATTGGGCCCAACAGTCCAACAACATCGAGGAGACCTGTAGAGTCGGGTGCTATGTAGGAAGTGCGAGTAGGACATCAGGGGACCAAAACCGAGACACGACACGTCTGGGACTGCCATATATCTGACGAACACATGGAAGTGGACAATAGATGCATTTCCTTTGCAAACCGGAGGGTTTTCCACTTCCCATGTTAGTGAGTCAAAGGGTACATTGACCCCAAACTTCAACCACCCCTGGCCGTTTCTCGGCACATATGGCAGTCCCAAACGTGTCGTGTCGGAGCTTTGGAGGTCGAAGCCTCACACGGTCGGGACGTGCGCCCGTGCGCCGTCGACTCGGCCATCTCCTCCTTGACACCAGCTTTCTTCAACACATCGATGGCACACAAGGCGGAGCCACCAGTGCCCAGCATAGGATCACACAGCATCACTTGCAACTTTTCGATCCCGTCCTGGAAGGTGCTTTTCTGGGAGGGGTGTGGTAGGACAATGCAGCAGCCATCAATCACGCGACTAGGTTAACCGCCTTGCTAGCCAAAAGTGCTTTCGTGAAGCCTTCACAGCCTCGAACCTAGGAATCTACGTATATTTAGGCTTTGCAACCTGCACATTATCGTTATCTGCGGAGTGTCTCAGATTCCTCGCAAACTCCCTTAAATTTTCTTGGCCCCAGTCAATACACAGTTTGTTTCAAAAAGGATGGAACCGCCCCTCAGGAATATGGTGAACAGCTCGTGTTTGCAATCCCGGCTGCTGGAAGCTTGGAGTAGAACAGCTGCGGCAAGGCGGTTTCTTCATCCCGCTGGATCAAGATTTTTGCAGTCTTCAATTCTGGAAGAACCTGGCCGCAGGTCGAGGTCGACCAAAAAGAGGGAGAGAGAGAGAGAGAGAAAGAGAGAGAAAAAAAGAGGGGATGAAGGGAGAACAACAAGACATTTTCCAGTTCAAAACCGTCCATGAACCAACTGCGAGGCCACTGGCGTTCTGGCGGTGAACGGATGGTGGGAAACCAAGAAAACCACCCAAGGAGCCCGTAATGTTTGGGAATTGATGGTTCCCTAGAACGTTGATTGATATCAGTTAGACCTATACAAATAAAACCCACGGTGCCGCAGTGTAGGGGCATCCCCTGCTGCGTACCAATTACATCTTGTCAGGTGGCCCCTATGGGTTGCCTGTTAAGATATCACACGCCATGACTTGAAAATGAGTGATGCTAAGGCGCGGTGAAACGCATCCAAAACATTCCAAAGCAATGGTCGTCGGACGTGTTCTTCTCCTCGACGGGTACGTTCTCTCGCAACCTTGTTGTTTGTTAGGCGTTTGGTGAACCAAAGAGTTTCTATATGGAAGATTGAGTCAACCTTCTTCCACTTATCCTTATCTTGAAGGTAGACATCATGCAAAGGGTTAAAAGTTCAAGGCCCCCAACCGACCAGGTAGCAGGGCTAACCACTGACCAGCTAGGGGAACTGCGGGCCTATTTTTGTCCGCTCCTCAATGAAAATGAAGCCAATCCGGGACTATCCTCAGCCCCCCAAACATCTCCAAAAACACCATGAATCTCACCTAAAAACCACCCAAAACACATAAAAAACACCTAAAAACCACCTAAAAACACCATGAATCTCACCCTCCACACCTTCTCAGCACCCTGATCCGGATCCTCCCCACGTTCTATCTAACACCACCTTCATCCCGCCTTCCGCACGGCCTCGAGAAGGATCCCACCGGAACGGACAATGTCCACAGCACAAAGCTGGTGGCCATCCGGTACCGCGAGACCGTTGTAGGGGCCGCAGGGGCTCTGGAGAACCTGTTCGCACGGGCGCAGATGATGAGGAAGGAGGAAGGAGATGAAAACGGGTTCTTTTGGGAGGCCGCTTCGGCAGGCCACGCTGTGCCAGGAAAGCATGGCTGATTGAAAAAAACCTATTATGCCAAAGCTTCTTAAACTGCTGGATTTTTGTGAGGCAACCCACGTGAGGAGAATGAAGTGACAGTTAAACCCAACGGTTCTCGATTCATATTCGATGACACTTGACCACATATCCCACACAGCCCTGTTGGGGGAGCAAGGCCCGGCGGGTCTTTGAAGGGTTTGGTTCCATTCCTGAGTGCTACATGTGCATCTGTGCCATATGGATTTTGAAAGGAACCCCTAGGCCCTAGGCACATGAAAAGAAGCAAGCTGCATACCCATATAGACGCCCATAGGTTACGAGATGTTACGAGTACTATGTCTTCCTCACATTGCCCGCTATAGAACATGCTTTTGGCACAGCCCTGTGAGCCCTGTCAACCCCGGACCTCGTTTTTGCTTTCCGTCCCACCTGCGGCTTCACCGAGGGCAGTCGAGCAATACCCTCCTCCGCCAAAATGGACATCAAACGATCCGCCGTTCGGACGAACTCCACCTGGCTGGTGCGTTGGTCACCTGAGCCCGCCCGAACTGGTGACCGTCGTTTTGGGTCGGCGCCGGATGGCGCCGGATGGCGCCGGCTTGGGCGGTGCTTGGTGTGGTTGGTGAAAGGAATTAGGATTTAGATCCCACAAAAAGCCGTTGAACTTGAGTGACCTGGGTGGGGGGGGGTCCTGATTGTTCCAACCAAGCATCAAAAAAAAGGGAGGAGATCTTCATCGACAGTGATGGGGAATGCCGGCGTTCCCCCAAGTTGACCGCCCTTAAAGGATCCACGAGCCTAGCTGTAGCCAACTTCAGTTTCTTTGGAAAATGGAGGTTGACCTTTTTCCGTTCAGTTGTATAGTGGGGACAAATATCCTCCAAAACTGGTGTTGCTGATTTCCAACTTTTCTTGGGTGGGACATGGTATAAGACCTTCGGACCATTTTCACCGGAGAGCCACCCTGTTTTCGCCGGTCAACCACGGTCAACGGGCGCCCGCACCCGCGCCCGTGATCCCAAGTCACGGATGATGGACATTAACAAAGCGATCGCCGGGCTGGACCTCGGGTGAGGTCACACCCCGGGGCACCCGAGGAGATGGGACTGGTCTACCAGGATTTGGTACTAAATTCAGTGCCGATCAGGTTCTAAGATGTTCAAGTGTGTGTATTATACTCTTCCCTGCTGGTCTCTCACAACCATGTTCGACGATCTTGTAAAGAATAAACACATACAGTATAAACACCATGCATCTAGCAAGATTGAGCACTTCTCTGACTTGGGGGTTTAGTACCAGCTCAGGGACAATACTTCGGCTCTCTCATTCTCCTTGGCGTAGAATGAGCCGCCGTGGCAGCGCACAGGGTGAACATTCGATCCAAGAACCTCGGCGAAGCAGCGACCCTGAACCAGCATGTCGGCTGGTAGGTCCAATGCCCTGCACCTACCACCGACACATTCCAAAGACGTCCATGTCTCAAGCTGCAACCTGTCGTGATCGAAATGGATGGCATCACTCGGAGGCTTCCTCTAACTCAGCCCAGCCACAGTTGCACCCACAGCCAAGCCCGCGGCAGCCACCCATCGGTGGTCGTGCCGAGCCATGGTCACGCGCCCCATGAACCGTCGTGCTGATCGCATGCTCCCTCAAGCAGTGGACAATCAGGGGCCCGTTGGAATCGCCAGAGCCCAAACGGCTCAGCTTGAGGCGGGAGGTGGTGGGAAAGTAATGTGGTCCTTTGATTAATGAACACCAGAATAATGTCTCTTTTTGTTGAGGGATAGTTTTTTTTGTGATTGTTTCATTGTTATAAAATTGTTATGTTTCCTCTCTAGCTTACTGATTTTTAAGATCTTTGGATGCAGATTTCCAGTGGCAGCAAAAGATTTTTTTGGATTTTGAAGGTCTTTGGATGCAGATTTCCTTTGAGAATTGGAGATTTCCTTTGGGAATTGTGGTTGCTTTTCCTTTTGATCAAGTCCTTGTCATTATCTCTTGAATCTTTGAGTCTTCCAAAAAATCCCAAAAGTATGTGCGCACTTTCTTTACAAAAACCATCAAAAACCCTTGTTCAAAAATATTGAAAAACAACAAACTCATTCCAGCAAAGGGGGTAGTCCAGCAAGCAAGTTTCTGTCATTATTTTGGGGGGCCCCTAAAATAATGTCTGGAGATTTGGGGCTTCTTGGATTGCAGCTTTCCTGAAACTGATCTTCAATCTTTGTGTTTACTTTTCCTTTTGATCAAG